AGGGGCGCATCTCACTCTTGATGTCAGCTCAGGTCATGATCTCAGGGGTGTGAGATCAAGCTCTGCACACAGCGGGGGTCTGCTTGAGATTCTCTCTCTCTCCCTCTCCCTCTGCCTCTCCCCTTCCCAATAAATAAATCTTTTAAAAAAAGAATAAGAAATGGATACCACCAGGGCCCCCCAAGAAAGTTTTCTCATATCTCTCCACCTGCTCTCCCTCCCCTCATCAATGGCAACCATCACCTTGACTTCTAACCCCACAGAGCTGGGGTGCCAGATGTAAATGGTGTCAATGGGACGATACCATAGTCTCTGAGTGTGCTTCCTGTTTGGGGCTATTGTGACAACGTGCTCTAAACGTTCTTCTCATCTTCTTCATGACATAAGCCTGTGTTCCTGTTGGGTACGGACCAAGGAATGGAAATGGCTGAGTTACATAATAGGCACACATTCACCTTTTAACGGTATGGCCATGTGGTTTCCTAGAGGGGCTGGAGTACCTTACTCCACCAGTGCTCACCAGCTGTGTGCAAGTCAATGCTTAGAATTGTCAGGCATTTATTTTAGCCATCTGGTGGGACACAGAGGTATCGCTGTGAGGTTTTCACTTCCATTTGCCTGGTGACTGATGAAACGGAGCCTTGGGTCATGCATGGATGGATAGCCAGAAGGGAAGGCTATCTTCCCTTCTGAAATGGCTAAGTCTTCTGCAACCTGGGCAAATTTCAAAGCAACGTGATGCTTCATAATCCCAAAGGATGGGCTAAGGGGGACCACTCTCTGCCCTGGGGACCAACCCCTGGAACCCAAGCCTGGTGCTCCAGGTTCCCAATGATCAACAGCCACTGGGCCCAGCCTCCCATCTGAGCAGGTGCTCTGACAGGTGAGGCTTGGAGGCTCCTACCCACTTTGGGGGTGGTCAAGGAGATAAGCCTATTTTATAGAGGGGGAGACTGAGCCTCAGTGTTGGGGAGGAAAGTGCCTGCCCTAGTCAGACAGCTGACAAGCCCGAGGACCTCCAGTCCCCACTGCTCAGACCCTGCACTGAGTGAAAGACGGGCTTTCAACCCAGACCCAAGTGACTCCGCACATCAGTTCTGGGAAGATTCCTTGAGCTCCACGGGGTTCGCCCTTGCTCTGCAGACCGGAGGGCTCCCCTGTCCTGTGGGAACAAGGAGCTGGGGTGGATGCCACTTTGCCCAACACGGGACATGGAGAAAACCTGGGTTTCAGGGACAGTTAGATCCTGAACTAACCAACTCAGCAATAATGTGATGTGCGAAGCATGCACAGACACTGTTGGGCATTCCCAAGTCGGACCTCACTGACTCCTGCGGAAATCCCAGGTCTTTCTCCTTTCCGTAAAACCAGACACCACCTCTGCCCTGTGTGTGCATGTCTCTGCCCCTTTGCCATTCACTCGGCCCTTCATCCATTCCTTTATTGAGTACCTGCTGTGTGCTGGGACTGTCCCAGACAGACAAGGTCCCAGCCCTCCTGGAGGTAACGTCCTCTGAGAGGAGCGGAGGAGAGACAAGAGGGTGGTAAGAGTTTTGCAGAAAATAAAGCCGCGAGAGTGTGCTAGGGAGCTAGGGAGTGCAGGGGGAGGGACCCCCCACAGTCTAACCCACTCCTTCCTGCTGCAGTCCTGCGGGGCCTGGGCAGTCCTTGAAGAACACTGAGATTCTTTCCTTTTATACATCTCTCCGGGCATTTAATCATTGAACAAATGAATATTGATTTGCTCTTTACAGCCCTCTTCTCTCTCCCTTTGTCTCCGGGGCCGTCTGATCTCCCCCAGGGTCTGTCAACCCCGGCTGCCCCACGACCCTGGACCCTGTCGGGGCCTCATGACCTCCAGTCTCCTCTGGGCTCCTTTCCTGCGCTTGACTGGTTTGGGGACAGGAAGAGGCCGGCGGGACAGAAGGGGACTGAGGGGTTAGAAGCCAGATCGCACAGAGCTGGGCACAGGGTGGGATTTCTTCGAGTGTTGGCCCGAGTTAAGGCTTTGATCTTCCCACGCTGAGCCCAGGCAGCCGAGCTTTGTGTTGAGCGCGCATAGGGGCGGGGCCGACGGAGGGGCGGGGCTTCCGCGTTGGGGGCGGGGCCTCCTGCTGCAACCCGCTCCTGCTTCCGGTGGTCCAGGTAATGAGAACAGGTTACACCGGGGATAGTGATACTTCCCTCATCTTCTTCTTCTTTTTTTTCTTTTTAACTGAGGCACGATTTACGTCGATAAAATACACCCATTTTAAATGATCAGCTTGTTGCATTTGGACAAACTGGTGCTCTCATGATCATCACTGTGCCTCTCGAGATAACACAATGTTGCGCTGCCTGGAAAGTTTCCTTGAGGCCACTTCACAGTCCATACCCCCTCTCCACTCCGGGTGTTATCATCTTGACCGTTTTGGTGGGCGTGTTGTGGCATGCCACTGTGGTTTTAATTTGTGTTTTCCTGATGACAATGTCGAGAATGTGTGTGTGTGTGTGTGTGTGTGTGTGTGTGCGCGCGCGCGCGCGCGCTCATGGGCTATCAGGATATCTTTTATGAAGTGCTTCTTCCCGTGGTCTGATTACTGAGTTGAAGGAGGCTTCTGTATTCTGGATGTAAGGTCTTTGCTAGCCTGTATGTTTTGCAAATGCTTCCTAACAGGCTGTGCCTAGCATTTTCTTGTACCTAATGACGTTTTTTGAAGAGCAGAGTTTTCCAGGTTTGATCACCTCTAACTTACCAGTTTTCTATTTCGTGGTGATTGCTTTCTCTGGCTTGTTTAAAAGACTTCTGCCTATCCTCGGGTCAAGAAACACATTTCTCTGTTTTTATTTTTTTATTTATTTTCCACAACTGGGAACATTTTATTTTCACTTTTCACGTTTAGGACTGTGATGGCTCTCAAATTAGTTTTTGTGTCTTGTGATTGAGGTTCTGTCTTCTCTTTTTTCTTATGTAGACATTGGCTTGCTCAAAATGATGTCTTGAAAAGACTTCCCTGTAGACTTGCTTTGGCATTTTTGTCAAAAATCAGTTGACCACGAAGTTTTGACCATTTTCTGAAGTGTGTATTCTGTCCCCTTAATTGACTTGCTTGTCCTTACGTGGTATCATGCTGCCTTGTTTGCGGTAGCTTTGCAGCAAGTCCTGAAGTCAGGTAATAGAAGTTTCCAGCTTTTTTTTTTTTTTCCAGATTGTTTCGATAGTCTAGATTCTTTACATTTTCGTAGAGATTTTTGAATCGGGTTGTCGGTTTCTACAAAAACACACTTTTGAGAAGTTTTGGTTGGGGTTGCTGTGACTCTAATGATTAGTCTGAGAAGCATTGACAGATCTTAACAATATGGGGTCTCCCAGTCCCTGGTTTATTTCACTCTTGACTTGGGTCTCCTTGAACGTCTCCCAGCAGAGCTTTGATGTTTGCAGAGGGGCAATTAGCTGAAAGAAGAGATGACAGGATTCAGGGATGGATTGGCAGTGAGTTGTGAGGAAAAAGGGAGTAGGCAAGGGTAAATGTCAAAATCTCTTCCTGGATGGCTGGGTGGAGATGAGAAGGAAGCGACTTCTCCTGGTAGGGATCCAGCTCAGAAGAAGAAAGGCCTGAATCTGGACTCAGTTGTCCCCAGGGCCATGTGCATGACCTTCTGAGACACACCTCTGCACACCCTCCCACCCTGGGGGGGCTCCCATGGGCAGATGGGTGCCCAGTCCCAGGGGGAGGTGATGTGGAGAAGCTGATACTCTTCTCCCATGGAGCGGTAAGGACTCTCTCCCTGTCCCTGCTCGGCCTTCTTTCCTTCCCTACTCCGGAGGGCCAGGATGGTCTGTTAACAGCACTGGATTGTCCCATCAGTAGCCTCCTGACTGGTCACTGAGGGTCAGACAGCCCCTCCCTCTCTCCCTGTCATCTCCACCCCCCCTTCAAGCTAATGAGACCTGCCCTGATTCCCCAGCCAGGCTGCTGGCCTTAATCTCCCCACCCCCCCGCAGGGGGTTCTTGGGGGTGGAGAAAGAAAGAGCCCCTTATGGTGAGAAACAATGACCCAGCCACAAGGCAGGATTACCACCATCTCTCCCGTGCATGTACTGTGCGAGGTTGTGTGCACGCCCGTGTGCACGCTCGGGTGTATGGCGAAATAGAACAGACCCAGGGAGGGTGATGGAGACAAAGACAATCGGTAGTACAGAGCAAGAGAGGCTACCAAGATAGGAGAAAGCAGAATTGGAGGGAAAGTTGGGAGAAAGAAAACGAGAATCCGACCGTCAGATGAGGTGTTGGAGAAAAAGAGAGAGAAACAGGACCAGAGCTTGGAACTTGGGGGGTTGGATAAAGAAGCCCAGAGGGACGGGGTTGGCTGGAGTTGCAGGGACAGGTGGACAGACAGGGAGACAGGGACAGAGAGACCCAGAGCTGGAGGGTGAGGTAGGGGGCACACATGCAAAGGGGCAGGAGTGGCATAGCCGGAGGCCCAAGGAAGAGAGAAACTGAGGCACAGAGCTCCCAAACGAAGACCAGTGGTGTGGAGGGAGGAAGGGAGAGAGGGAGGAGGAGAAGCTGATGTCCAGCAGAGGCAGTTCAGAGACCAAAGTGATAGAGTCCGAGGCTCAAAGAGAGAAAAGGGGAAACTGAGGCAGAAGCCACGAACAATGGAGCCAGACAGGTCTGAATTAGTCCACAGACAGAATGTTGGGGAGACAAAGAGTGGTCCAGGAGGGGAGGCAGAAAGCCCTGTACTCCTTATTTTTCAAAGCATCTCTCAGGAACACCCCGCACTTCTCTCCTTCCTCTTTGGTGGGACGCCAAAGTGGGAAGGACACCAGTTAGACCTTAGGAAGAATTTCCCTGAAGAGTGGGGGCTCCTGGTCTCAGGCAGGAGCTGGGGCTTCCCATCCCCATCGGCCCTAATTGCCAAGATGTTGCAGGGAGGAGGGGAGGGGATTAGGCAGACGGGGGCCCCTCCCCCTCCCAGCCAATGTCACCTCCTAGCGTCCAATCAAGTCCCCCACCAGGGGCCAGGATTACCCTCTGAGATCCAGGCCACCACAAATGACATCATTCCCAGCCTGGGCTTAAAATCTCCCCATGTGGGGGGACCCGCTTCCTTCAGCTTCTGCTACCTGCTGACTCTGTCTAGGACCTGGGCCACCAGGAGAACCCTGTCCCGTTTCTGGAAGGTGAGTGTCTGCATCTCAGCGCCCAGGCATAGGGGCCGAGAGGAGGGGGTGTGCGATGTTTGCTGCAGTTTTCTCTAGGGAATAAAGGTCCCATCCTGGTGTTTGGAGGTACAGGGCGCCTGTGAGCACAGCAGGAGGGCACGAGAGCATCTGTATCAGGGGGACAGCTCCGACAAGGCAAAGGAGGACCTTGAATGCGGCTGAGCTGGGGGAGTCTTGTTACAGCTGATGTGGGGTCCCCTGGGTCTGGGCTTAAAGCCTGCCTTTTACTCACTGTGTGTCCTTGGTTCATTCACATGACCTCCCTGGGCCTCAGTTTCCTTGTCTGCTAAGTGGTGACAATGAGAAGTTGCCATGAAGAGCCATGGGGAGCCCGTCACAGGCCTGGCTTGCAATGAGCCTAAGAGAGACAGCTGGCTTCATCCTGCTTTGGGGGACTTGGGAGCAGATCTGGGGGTCAAGAGCAGGGGATGCTACTCTCTGAGACTCAGTTTCTGCCTCTGCGAAGGGAGGATCATAGTAGGACCCACATTGGAGGGAGTTTTATTGGGATGATTGTTCCCTGAGATCTTGTTCCCGAGGCCCTCAGTGCGTCTCTGAGAAGTCGGGGGATGGTGACTGGAGGTCCCCATGGTTGTCAGCTGCCTGACTGGGGGTGGGTACCGTCCTCTGCACCCCTCAGGCTCGGCTTCCCCACCTGTAGAATGGGATCATCTCCTTGGTGACCCACAAGGTTGGGCGTGAGCCTTCAAGCCTCACCTGTCAGAGCACCTGCTCAGGTGCCAGCCTGTGAACCCCGGGAATGCCAGCCTCGGGTCCTGTACCTTGGTCCCCAGGGCAGGGAGAGTGGTGTCCCTCAGCCCACCTTTGGGACAAGGACGTATCATTGCCTTGAACGTCGCCTGGCCGGGTGATGATGGGGTTGTTGTCAGGCTGATTGGAAATTCTCAACAAAAGGTAGACATGTCACCACTGCCGTCTGGGCTTCCCGGGATGGGTCATCCAAAGCCTGTATGGAGCGGAGCGGGGAAGTCCCGAGGCCATGACGTCGCTCGCTATCTGTCTCATCTTGTTGCCAGAGAAATTTCAGTGGTTGTCTGACGATATTTTTGTGTATTATTCTTTGAGGATGTCTTGTCCACAAAGCACTCATGGGTTGTCTGACGAGCCAGCAGATGCTCAGTCCTGGAGCTCAATGTCATGACCACCCGCCTGGTCTTGGGGGAGCCCCTTCCCTGCCCCAGGCTCGGAGTTCCTGTCTGTAGGTGGCTCAGCCCAGCGCGAGACGGCCGGGCTTTCCTGGGAAGCCCACCGTGTAGCCTGATTAGCCCCTCGCACAGTCGATGGGGAGGGAAGATGATGAACTTGGATGTTCTCGTTCCGGGCCATGCCCTTAGACCCTAGCAGGGCAGTGCCGCCCGTCTCCCTGTTTCCGCGCCCTCCAGAAGCTCCAATGAAGCATCCTCGCCCCCTTGGGGAAGAGGGAGAGGACAGAGGAAACCCACGCTCGCTGCTGGGAGAACAGCCTTCCGGAGCCTCCAACCCAGGGTTGGAATCCCGGGTCCCCACTGACAATCTGTGTGTGACCTTAGGCAAGTGACCGGGCCTGAGGCTGAAGATGTTCCTGTCTGTGAAATGGGAGCATAACAGGAATGCCGCGTCAGCCTCCCCAGGCTCTGCTGAGGACAGAAGGGTGTAGAAGGGTGTCCAGCGTAGAGAAGGCTGGTGTGTGAGTTGGCTCTAGCCGTGTACCGAGTTACACTAAAACTTAGCCGCTTAGCGCAACAAACAGCTCTGGTCCCAGACAGTGTCTGAGGGACAGGGATCCCAGGGCGGCCCCACTGGATAATGCTGGCCCAGGTCTCTTTGTGCTGCTGTATGTAGTCTGATGCTGGCCAGGGCTGAGTCCTTGGCCAGCTTGCCTGATGCTTTGGAACTGACTTTCCCCAGGGGGCTTGGTCCCATGGCCTCAGTTCTTGGTCTTGGCGTGTCCGCACGACCCCGGCGGGCTACCCCCAGAGCAGCGCCAGCCTCGGAGGTCCCTCTGTCATTTCTGCAGTGCCGAACGGGGAGCCCACGGCAGCCCTGCTCCGTAGGAGGGGACAACACAAGGGGCTGAATCCCGGCGTGGGGTGGAGGGGGATTACTGGGGGCTTCCTAGAATGCCCACCAGCTCTTGGGATTTAAAGCGGCTTCTTGCTTTTATTGTAACGACCAGCACTGAGCTTCCCCATGACCTTCCCGGCCAGGCCCCATGTCATCTGGTTTGCTGTGCTCCAGTCACACTGGGCACCTTGGTTTCCTCCTCCAACGAGACAAAATGAGCCCAGACTCCAGGCTTTGCAGCTGCCTGCTGTTCCCTCTGCCTGGAACCGTCTCCCCATGGGACCAGGAGCCCGTCGCTTTTCAGCCCCCAGGGTCCTCTCCCCACAGAGAGGTCTTCCCGGACCATCCGTCTAGATGAGCTGTCTTCCCCTTGCCCCAAACCCCATCATTACGCCATTACCCCATTTCGTTTTCCCGGGAGTTCAATCCCATGAGACCAGAGATGCCGCGTGCCTCATTTCTTGCTACCTCCCCGCCTCCTACGGCAAGATGGAATCTTAAAACTATTTCCTGGAGGGGCAGTAGGACCCCAGTTTATGATTAATAGAGAACCACCCCCCAAGTGGGGGGTGAGAAGGACACGCTCGTGGGAGCAGAAAGGGGGAAGGAGCTAAGGCAAAGGTCTTCTGTTTTTTACTTTTACTTATTTCTGAAATATTAGGGTGTGTGTGAGAGAGAGAGAGAGACAGAAAGAGGGAGCAAGAGAAATCCAGGTTAACATGTGGGATGTGGAGTTGGAGCCTGCAGGAAGAGACAGGGTTAGCTGTGACAGGGACCGGACAAGAGGCATTCGTGGCCCCGGGGGAAGGCTTATGCGCGCACCCAGAGAGACTGGGAGCCTCCTCGAGGCTATCTTAGTGGGGGTCATAGGGAACCCCGGCAAGGGTCTTAGGTTTTTTTGTTTTGTTTAGACTTTACTGTTGCTTTTGTTCTTGGAAAGCTTATATGTCTGTATGGTTACAAGGCAATCCAAATTGAAGAAACAAGGCTTGGATATAGCACATTTCTCCAGAGAGCCTCACTTCTAGCAGATCCTGTGTTCTTCCTGGCAATTTTCTGTGCATACATATGCTTGTATATATATATATATATATATATATATATATATACACAATATATTATATATAATTGCTGCCTTGTTTTAAAAGTCACGGATGGTAGCCTGCTTAGGTCCGCACTGCTCAGCACCATATCTTTTCCTTTGACAATATATATGTCGCATATGTATATATCATCTAATATATATTAAATTAAATATCTTTTTAAAAAGATTTTATTTATTTATTTGACAGATCACAAGTAGGCAGAGAGGCAGGCAGAGAGAGAGGGGGAAGCCGAGCAGAGAGCCCGATGTGGGGCTTGATCCCAGAACCCTGGGATCATGACCTGAGCCGAAGGCAGAGGCTTTAACCCACTGAGCCATCCAGGCGCCCCTAAATTAAATATCTATTTCGGTAATAAAGGATATGTAACACACACACACACTCCTTTTGTCAAAGTGTAATTTTAATAAAACATTTTTTAAAGATTTTATTTATTTATTAGAGAGAGAGCACAAGCAGGAGGGGGTGGCAGGCAGAGGGAGAAGCAGACTCCCCGCTGAGCAAGGAGCCCAATGCGGGGCTGGATCCCAGGACCCTGGGATCATGACCTGAGCGGAAGCAGACACTTAACTGACTGAGCACCCCAGGTGCTTCTAATTTTAACAAAATTGAAAAACCTGATTAAAGATTTATTTAAGTTATTAAATGAGGAGACCAGCTGTTTCCAAGGGAGGAGTCAATGAATACAGGCTAATACCGTTCTTCAGGGAACGTGTGGAAAACAGAAAGGAAACTGGACAGCAGGAGAGTGAATCCTCTGTAACCCTAAAGTCATCCCTTCTGCCGGAGACAAATCCTTTGCAACCAAACTTCTTGCAAGTTACCCTTTACCTTATCAGACTCCCACGCTGATCCATAGCAAATAGCAACCTGAACAGAGATCTGGTCCCTTAGAAGATGAACTAACCCTGGGGCAGGGAGGGGTTCTGTGAAACAGGCTCCCAGGATGATCTAGAAATGACACCGTGTCCCCTCTTATTGCCAAATTTGGGATCATTTCTCGTAACTATTTGCTAGAGAACTTCAAGAATCAGTTCGCTGCAGCCTTACACTTTTTAGTGACGTCATGGAATTCCCTTGAATACATGCGCCATCATCTACTTGCATCATTTACTTCCTACCTTCCCTTTGGTGGGCATAGGGGCTGCTTCCACATTGGGGCGACTGGACACGTGGGCACTGGCAGTGCCCGCTTGGAGTCTGTGCAAACATCCGCTTGCAAGTGGGGAGGGGCGCCCCCTGCTGTTCACTGCGCGGCACTGACCGCGGTGTCAGGGGCTCGTATAAGGAGCTGGTAACGCGTGGTGCATTTCCCCTCCCAGCCGCCTAAGGATGGACATGCTGTTTGCATTCCCATTTTCCCTGGAGGGTACGGAGTTGCCCTGAAGGCAAACAGCCCCGGGGAGGGGTGTATGGCGGGGAGAGGAAAGATGGTATTTCACTTTGATCAATGCTTCCAGTATATTCCGACGCTGCTCCTGACTTGGCACGGGAGCGCCTGCTTCTCTGCACCCAGGCTGGCACTGGGGCTAAAGGACCTCCTTTTTTCCTTTGCCCACCTGGTGGGTCACACGTGGTCGTGGAAGATCGCCTTTCACTTGTCTGCATGCTTCTGCCATCCCAGTTTGTGCGGGACGCTTCCGGTGTTTATGGGGGAAACGCCCACATCTCTAGAAACTTCCCGGTCCCAAGCAAGGGGTTGTCCTGCTGTCCGTGATTCTCCGCGGGGCTGGACATCTTTTCTGGGGCCTAGGATGGGCATTCCAGTTTCAGCTGCTGATGCGGACGGGGTTTTGGGGAAGCTTTGCCCATCTTAAGTGGAGGGCAATAGGCGGGGAAACTGAGGCACAGAGAGATACGTGCTCACGGGCACACACCTAAGAAGAGTCTGAAGCAGGACTTGGACCTGAGCCTGTCGGGCACCACGTGGTACCTGGGAAGTGCCTGAGAACCTCCTCCTCTCTTGCAGGGCCGTGGACCTGGGCCGCGGTGTCCCCAAAGATCATGATGGCGTATATGAACCCAGGGCCCCACTACTCGGTCAACGCCTTGGCCTTGAGTGGTCCCAGCGTGGATCTGATGCACCAAGCTGTGTCCTATCCAAGTGAGTACCATCCTTCTCCCGATGCCACCTCCCTCCAGCTGTCGGTGGCCCCTGGGTCCCTTATCCTCAGGAAGAAGCTGGGAATTTGCCAGGGTAATATTGGAGTCACATACTGACTGTATGTAGTCATTTGCAGTTTGCCAAACACTTCTCCACGTCCTTTAGGGGTGCAGGAAAGTGTAGGGGCATTCATAACAATTTAGGAAGGGTTCCCTCTAGGTGGACCTGTCACTCTTCTACACTAGAAGGAGCTGAATATTCTCGATTGTGTGTTTCAATTGGACATGACTTCGTGCATAAGAAATTTTAGAAAGGGTATAAAAACCGAACTCATACACCTCCTTACAGGGCTAATGCCAGTTCTTGGGGTGAGGCATGAGCTCCAAGATGACGGGCAAAGAAGGGTCCCATTTCGCAGGGGGACAGAGTGAGGTCTACAAGGTCAGGAAGTAGGTGGGGAGATGAATGCCCAGAGAGGGCTTCTCGGTATTCCACAAGACCTCAGGACCTCCTGCCGGCGGAAAAAGAGACTGGCAGGTCCAGGTCCCACGATGGTCCTATTGTCCTGTCCCTGCTTCAGGTGCCCCGAGAAAGCAGCGGCGGGAGCGGACCACCTTCACCCGGAGCCAGCTGGAGGAGCTGGAGGCCCTGTTCGCCAAGACTCAGTACCCGGATGTGTATGCTCGCGAGGAAGTGGCTCTGAAGATCAACCTGCCCGAGTCCCGGGTTCAGGTGGGATGGTCTGAGCCCTGGGCGCCTTCCAGCCCTTCCTGGGACCCAGAGTGAAGGGAGGGGGAGTAGTCCTAGAGTAACACCCAAAGTCATGCATGGCCCGAATATGACCCCTCGCCCCCGTTACTGCCCCTCACCGCTCCCTCCACCCTCTTTGCCAGCCACATCTGCCGGTACTTCCTCTAACACACCTGCTAAGCACACACCGGCCCCAGGCCCTTTGCACTCACAGTTCTTTCTACCTGGAGGAGCTTATTCCATCACTTTGCTCAAGTCTTTGTTTATTGACCGATCAGGTCACCGTGTCCATCAATGAGACCTAGACGTACCCTCGCACTTAAAGGCTCAATGTCCCCGAGGGCCCTACCCTGCTGCTCCCTCCTCCCGCTCTGCTGGGTCTTCCCAAGTATTGATCACCTTCTAAAATACTATGCAGCGTACTTACTGTAGATGTATATAACCTGTTGCCCTTGACAAGAAGGTCCGTCCCCAAAGTCGTAGTTCGTGCGTGGTGATTGATTGTGCGGAAGGATGGATAAGTGTACATACGTGCGTACGTGTGATTGCGTGTGTGTGTGCATGATTAGCTGCACACGTGCATGTGTGATGATATGTGTGTGCCTATGACTGCGCGTGTGTGGATAATTGCAGATATGAACGGTAGGTCGGATGGACAGACGGGGTGCCCCATAACCGACGGCAAGGTGCGGAGGTGTGATTGGGGCGTGCCTCCCCCATAAACGCCATCATTCAGGGCACCGTGGGGGCTCTCCGGGCTCCCTCCCCACTCACCCACCCCATTTCCCCTTGCCCCCCCCCAGGTCTGGTTCAAGAACCGCAGAGCGAAATGCCGCCAGCAGCGCCAGCAGCAGAAGCAGCAGCCGCAGCCCCCGGGCGCACAGACCAAGGCCCGGCCTGCCAAGAGGAAGGCGGGAATGTCACCGAGATCTTCCTCGGACGTCTGTCCAGACCCCCTGGGCATCTCGGACTCCTACAGCCCCCCTCTCCCCGGCCCCTCGGGATCCCCCACCACGGCCGTGGCCACAGTGTCCATCTGGAGCCCGGCCTCAGAGTCCCCGCTGCCCGACGCCCAGCGGGCAGGCCTGGTGGCCGCGGGGCCGCCTCTGACCTCCGCACCCTACGCCATGACCTACGCCCCGGCCTCTGCGTTCTGCTCTTCCCCCTCAGCCTACGGGTCTCCGAGCTCCTATTTCAGCGGCCTGGATCCCTACCTTTCACCTATGGTGCCCCAGTTGGGGGGCCCGGCTCTCAGCCCCCTTTCTGGCCCCTCTGTGGGGCCCTCCCTGGCTCAGTCCCCCACCTCCCTGTCTGGCCAGAGCTACGGCACCTACAGCCCCGTGGACAGCTTGGAGTTCAAGGACCCCACAGGCACCTGGAAGTTCACCTACAACCCTATGGATTCTTTGGACTACAAGGACCAGAGTGCCTGGAAGTTTCAGATCTTGTAGAAAACCCTCTCCGGCATCTGCGGGGTCGGGCCTCCCTCCAAAGGCAGTGGCCCCTGTGGGCTCACGGGCAAGCAGCCCACCTGCGTCCCTGCCTCTCCCTGCCCCAAGGAGGGTCCCCTCGCTCTCTGGGGGGCGGTTCAGTAGGTCTTAGTAACCCTCAACCCAGCTGCCGTTTTAAAGCACGAGCCCCAGACTCCAGACATGGGTGCCGAGAGGGGCCCCCGGGACGGAATTAAACCACCCTTGGCGGTTGACGTGGGGGTTCCTGGTGAGGTCGGCTTCGAGGTGCCCTTGAACAGACACAGGTGGGAAGGCTCAATTCCATACCTTCTGTTTGGGACACTTGCTTAGCGTATGTCTAGAGATCCTTCTAGAAAATCCAAAGACAGTCTTTTAAGCAGCCCCATCGTGGAAGCTTAGGCCAACTGTCCAGTTCAATTAAAACAATCCACTTGGCATGTTACAGATTTCCCAGGTCAGATTTTGTATGATAGGTTAGGGGGCTCTTTGATACATATACATATACATATACATATACATATACATATATATATATTTTTCTTCTTTTTCATCTTCTTCCCTTCTCTTAGTTTCTTCTTAAAGACATTTCATCACTCATACATTCTTCCGGACGGTGAGAATGGGCGTATTTGGTGCGCGAACGGAAGGCAAGCTGCCTGTTTCATGTCTCCTTTTCCCCTCCTTGGGTTGGAGGATTTTCTAAAGGTGAATTTCATCCGAGCTTTGGAGGAACCGTGGTGGTTAGGACTGGGGCCGACTGTGGACCCCAACTCTAGCTGTGGGTATTTCAAAAAGGAAGAGGAGGTGGCCAGCTTCCCAACTGTAAATGGGCAAGAGATGGGCATGGGGGGGAGAGACGTGGATTTGGAGGAAGCCTGCATTTCAAATACACAGTCTCTCTCTTGGATTCCATTTCCTGTTCCCATTTCGGGGACTGGACCAGAGAGCCCGGCCCAAGGGAGTGCCCCTGCGGTGGGGGGAGTCTTTCTTCCCATGCGGACTTGATCCTCAGCAACACAGACAAGCACCAAGAGAATTTTAAGGAGTCAAGCATGTTGACGCTCTTGGAAGTGTGGTGGTTTGCCTTTGCTTCCTCAGTCTGAATTTTTCTTTTATTTTCGGCCCTGGGGGAGACAGCAGCCATGGGTCTTTCCCTGGGGGGCTTCACAAGGCAGCTGGAGGTAGGGTGGGAAGGTGGTGTTCGGGTACATGGTGACCACGAGCCACCCCCACCCGCCCCAAAGAAGAGGAAAAGCTCTGATTTGTAGCCTTTGCCCATTTCTGTGGTGTCAATTCTCCCATTGTGGCTGATTTCTGGGGTCTGATCTGAGGTCAGGGACGCAGAGCCTGCCGTCTGCCTTCATGGGCTGGTAGGATCTGGCTTTGGGCCCTCTGTGCAAGAAGGAAGGTCACGAGGCCTCAGATGGGTTTTCTGGGTCCAGGCCGGGAGAGGTCCACATGGCCCAGACCCCCGAACCCCCTGACGGACATGTTGAGATCACTAGAACCCACAAGGATAGGTTCCTCAGCACACCCCGGGACCATCCTTTATGGGCCTGAGTCATGCAGGCTTCTGGGACATTAGACCTGGGAGTGACTCAGAGTCCAGTGTGGGGCACAAAGGACAAACAAACAAGGATGACGCCAGCTGAGTGGGGGATGGGCGGTCCAGGCAGAATTCGTAGGGGTGAATCTGTTAGGAGAGTCCAGTTTCCTTTCCCGAGTCCAGCTACCTGAACTCTGGGGATGGCAGAGGTTCCACTTCCTAAAGCTGATGAGTGACAAGGGGGAAAAGGAAGCAGCTGAGAGCACCCCTCATTCTGGGTCCCCTTTCTCACTCATTGGGACTCCAGTCTCCTTCCCTCCAGGCCACCCACAGAGTGACAATAATTAAAATGCTGAATCCTACTTAAAGTCTGGGTGATTTTTATTTTTTAAAATTTCCGAGGAGGGGCAGACCAGGGGAGGTAGAAAAAGGGGTCACTCCATCCCTCTCCTTCTGCCCCCATCCCCCGTTTCTGGGGAGATGGGTCTGTCCATGTGCTTTCTCTGTCTGGTCACTGTCTTTTCCTTGGTATCTCCCTAAAGCCAATTAATCAGGGACATGGGCTCCAGATGCCAGCTTCCATCTGCTGTGACATCGCTGGCTCCCTGAGTTTCCCTCTGCAAGGAGGGGGGAGGGGGTGGCCACACATCCTGCCTCAGTGGCCCATGTGAGGACACAGGCCCTCCCTGTCCGCCAGCCTCGGGTCCCTGCCATGTCCCTCTCACCTCTGCTTCTCTCTTTGTTTTCCTTCTGACTGTCCCTCAGACTCCCAGGTCCCCATTCCTCTTTGCTGGATTTGTACCTTTTCCTTCTTCCATTTTCTCTTTTCTTTGCCCCTTTTCCTGTTTCTCCAAATGTTAAGTCATCATTGTCTGTTTCTGTCCCTCTCAGTCCTAGAGGAGCCCCAGGTTAAGATCTGTGTGTGCGTGTGTTGTGGGGTGTGCAGAGGGGGACAGAGCATTGGTGAGGTCAGACAAACTTGCTATCGGAGCCTGGGTTGGCCCCTTCTGGTCCCAGGATCCCAGGTGATTCATCTCTCCCAGCTTCAGCTTCCCCTCCTGTAACACACTGAGAAAACCTACCTCAAGGGAATGAAATGAGATCATTTTCTTTTCTTTTCTTTTTAAGATTTTATTTATTTATTTGACAGACAGAGATCACAAGTAGGCAGAGAGGCAGGCAGAGAGAGAGGAAGGGAAGCAGGTGCCTGATGCGGGGCTCGATCCCAGGACCCTGAGATCATGACCTGAGCCAAAGGCAGAGGCTTAACCCACTGAGCCACCCAGGCGCCCCATGAGATCATTTTCTTAAGTACCTGGTCTTGAACCTCTGGTCTGTGGTAAGAGCCCAATAAAAGTTTATTTTGTCGTAAAACACACAGCACATAAAACTGACCATTACAATCATCTTTTTTTTTTTTAAAAAATAAGATTCTATTTTTTAAGTATTCTCTACACCCCATTCGGGGCTCGAACCGACCACCTCAAGATCAAAATTTGCACGCTCTACCTCCTGAGGCAGCCAGGTGCCCCCATTATTATCACCTTGAAGTGTGCAGTTCAGGGCATTCACAGAGGAAAGCAGGCACTAAAGGCCGCGTATTGTAGGATTCCACTCATATGAACAGTCCAGAAGAGGCAAATCCACAGGGAGGGAAAAGCAGGGTGGTTGGGTGCCAGGAGCTGGCAGGGAGGGAGGGAATGGGGAGTGACTGCTTAATGGGTTTGGGTTTCTATTCAGGTGCCAAAAAAGTTCTGGAACTGCATAGCGACCCATTAATTCCACCTCGAAGTATATACCCCAAAGAACTGACAACAGGTGTTCAAGCAAAAAAACCCAAGGGTTCCTGTTCATTGTAGCATTATTTGCAATAAGCAAAGGACAGAAACAAATGGACACACAAAATGTGGTCAGGCCATCCAGTGGACTTTTTTTCTTTTTAAAGATTTTATTTATTTATTTGACAGAGACACACAACGAGAGAGGGAGCACAAGAAAGGGGAGTGGGAGAGGGAGAAGCAGGCGCAGGGAGCCTGATGCGGGGCTCGATCCCAGGACCCTGAGATCATGACCTGAGCCAAAGGTAGATGCTTAATGGACTGAGCCACCCAGGCGCCCCATCTGATGGACTCTTACTTGGCTACAAAAAGGAAGAGCTTATTTATATTTTCTTAGTAATCTTTACACCCAACATGGGGCTCAAACTCATAACCCCGAGATCAAGGATCACATGCTTTTCCAACCGAGCCAGCCAGGCACCCCGGGTGTGTTCTAGATCTCTATTACAGTGGTGGCTCCATGGCCATATAGGATGGTTCAGACTCCTCAGACTGTACCGTTACAATGGGTAGATTTTGCAGGATATAAATTATACCTCAATACACTGGAAGGAAAAAAGAAAAACCCACTGAGCATGTACTGTTTGCCAGACATTGGAGAAAGCCAGTCCAAAGACTGCTGATTCTCAGAACAATCCAGCAGAGAGATGCGATGTGTATCAGATAGACGCTCTTACGCTCCCCATTTCACAGATGAGAAAACCGAGGCTGTGGGAGGTCAGGGGACCTGCCCAAGATCCCACCGCTAGGAAGAGGTACTTGGGTTTTATACTCTTCTTGCTGGGGCCTCTAGACCCTGCTGGCATTTCTCCCCTCCCCTCCGACTTTGGTCCTCCCTCATTCTTCCTTCCTCCCAAGTCTCAAGCTCAGGTGTGCGTATGTCTCTTCCCCACCCCCATATGTCTGGGTCCTCGCCCCACTCCACCCCTCCTGCTCTCTGAGCCCCTCCCTGCTTGTCTCCTCTGTCCCTGAACAGGACTAATTTAGCAAATGCTCCAATCTTCTTATGATTGGAAGAATGGCCTCAGCAGAATGGCCGGGAATTAGCAGGGATTAGGTTCGGACACATGACCCTCCTCCCCGGAGGAGGGGCTCTGGGGAGACAGATGAATTTTATTTATTTATTTTTTTAAAAATATTTTATTTATTTATTTATTTATTTGAGAGAGAGAGAGAGAGCACTTAGTGGCAGCGGGGGCGGGGGGTGATGAGGAACAGAGGGAGAGACAGAATCCCCACTGAGCAGGGAGCCCAGCCCGGGACTCAATCCCAGGACCCTGAGATCATGATCTGAGCCAAAGGCAGATGCTTAACCAATTGAGCCACTCAGACACCCCTGACAAGTGAGTTTTAACTAAGTGATGCCCTCCTCCGCAGCAAATCATGCCTAGGACAGGCAGTAATAGTAAAATCACAGCCAAACTCTTCATGGGGTGCTTATGACGTGCTGGGGACAGTTAGGCACTTTCCTTGAATTTCTCTTACCCCTCCCCCTATCTTTATTACAGCCTCACATGGTGGGAGCCATCCCCCACCTCCCCTACTTCATGGGCCAGGAGGGGGTGAAGAACCTTCCCAAGGCAAACGGGGTCCAGCC